GTATCAGGCTTGTTATCCACCAACAAGTATCCAAACGGTCTTTCAGTCTCTTTGTAATAGGCGTTCATAAAGTGGACTCTATTCTTATCAAACATTCGTTCTCCAACAATTCCAATTTGTTTCCTATCACTAGGACTTCGGAAGAGAGCAAGATATTGGGCATTTCGGCTAATATCTGTATTGAATTTCCCCTTAGGAAACATGTTCTGAAGCAAAAGGATAACACTAGCGTTTCTATGACGTCCCTGGGTAAATAATCGAGCTACCACAGGACTGTCTGTCGCTTCGGCCATCAAATCATCCAGTATGATTACGTTGTTGTACCGGGTATTAATCTCACTCAGATCCTCGGACAACTCGGGCAAACCTCTTTGAAATCGGATGCTTTTCCCAAGGGACTTTTTTAATTCATCGTAACGATCTTGCCATTGATTGTGGCACCAATTAATGCGAATACTTCTCTGCTCCTCGTACACAATACGATTGTTTTCCAATATTTGTTGGATGGCTCCTAGCTCCTATACTCCTGGCCCTACATCGACCCTACAACGACCCTACATCGACCCTACATCGACCCCACATCGACTCTACATCGACTCTACATCGACCCTACATCGACCCTACATCGACCCTACATCGACCCTACATCACAGCCACATGTCGACGCCGTAAAAAAATATAAATGTTTTCAAACCATTTATTCTCGGTCATTTATGATTGAACTTTCAAAGTGTCAACATTCCCTATAAGCACAAAAGAGACTGTCCTCTCTGTAACAAGCCTTGTCTTCTATATATAAGTGATTATTTGCGCCAAGTACATAACTTATACGGGGATCAAAGGAAAAAGTGGTTAGGAAGGGCGAGGTTCTCAGCACCGCATATATAGCCACAACTCTAGTTTGCTGCCCATACGACCGGCACATGTACTAAAAGAAATGAAATGTGTTCGAAAGAAAACAAGGTCTGTACTAAAACCAACAAAAACCGTATCGAAAATTACAACATCTTTGACCACCAAAGCCATCCAGAATTCAACTTCCGTTATAAATTTTCGCTAATGGTCGTGGGTCCAAGCCAAAGTGAGAAAACTTATTTTGTCCAACAAATATTGGAAAACAATCGTGTCGTGTACGAGGAGCAGAGAAGTATTTGCATTCATTGGTGCTACAATCAATGGCAAGATCGTTACGATGAGTTAAAAAAGTCCCTTGGGAAAAGCATCCGATTTCAAAGAGGTTTGCCCGAGTTGTCCGAGGATCTGAGTGAGATTAATACCCGGTACAACAACGTAATCATACTGGATGATTTGATGGCCGAAGCGACAGACAGTCCTGTGGTATAGCTCGATTATTTACCCAGGGACGTCATAGAAACGCTAGTGTTATCCTTTTGCTTCAGAACATGTCTTCTAAGGGGAAATTCAATACAGATATTAGCCGAAATGCCCAATATCTTGCTCTCTTCCGAAGTCCTAGTGATAGAAAACAAATTGGAATTATTGGAGAACGAATGTTTGGTAAGAATAGAGTCCACTTTATGAACGCCTATTACAAAGAGACTGAAAAACCGTTTGGATACTTGTTGGTGGATAACAAGCCTGATACACCAGCAGATAAGCAAGTTCATGGGGACCTGTTTGGCGACTGCCGTGTTTATTTCTTTGCCACCCTAACTAAAGTGAACAGTACTAGTATCGAGCCCACACCGGTCGAAACCAAACCTACAATCATAGACAAACTTACTCGGACAAACATGGCAAATAAATTTTTTTTGCAACATTTTCATATATACTTCGTAAAGTTGGTCCCCCCTCCCCTGAAACAATGTTGATGAACACTTCAGTCATCATGGCAAGTATTGCGGTATTTGTACCAGCAACATTGTAACGGGGGAGCTGGCAATACGGCTGGATATGCGTATAAATATTTGATTGCCTTAAACTTCAGCCACTTTTAATCAGCGTCCGCGTGTTATTTGTCTAGGATTGTCTGAAAAACTATCGGTTGTATAAAGCATGAATTATTGTACAATTTTAGCCCATTGTCACATTTTATAAATACTGAAGTTCTATAAACACATGAATAAGATATTATATTAAAAATATTAAAAAATTATGTTAAAATATGCCGAACATTTTGATAATTACAGTTAGTTGATTAGATTGTTGGCGTCATATGATTAACGTAATGTGCGTATAAATCGCGACATGGCGAGAAAAGTATGCGCGGAGACAAGAGCTTTAGCTCGTTTTCATAGAGAATATACAGGTCTGAGTTATCGACAAATAGCCGTTCGATGTGGAATATCAAAATCAACAGCGCACACAATATGTCGGAAGCAAATTAACCGTGTCAGTACATGCATCCGCAAGCCGAAAGGTCGTCCAAAATCTTTAAACGAAAGGGATGGAAGACTTCTACTTAGAGTTTTAAAGTATTACAGAAGAGAATACGTTAACTTCTCAGTAAAAGATCTAATGGTAGAATGTGGATTTGACTCACAGAGAGTGCATCAAAGAACAGTTTCCAGATACCTTAACCGAAACGGCTTCTACATGAGGCAAGCAAGGAAGAAGGGACTTTTAAATGACAAAGATAAACGACTCAGACTTTCCTACGCGCGTGAAATGACAAGAGTTTTACGTGACCACCCAGATTACTACACTAATCACGTGGCTTTCTATCTGGACGCAGTATCGTTTGTACACAAGAACGACCCTCGTAAGGCAGCAATTCAACCGAAATCGCGAGTGTGGAGAAAGAAAGGGGAAGGGCTTGCCGTCACTGCGAAAGGCAGCAAAACTCTGGCAGGTGGGAGACGCCTTCATGTTCTTGCAGCCATCACTTGGGGCAAGGGTATCATCCTCAGCAAGGTCTACGATAAAATGAACGGTGATTTTTTCGCAGAATTTGTCCAAAATAACTTTAATTTGTGTTTTGGAAAAGCAGGACCTAAAACCGGAAGAAAGAGATTGTTTGTTATGGACAATGATCCTTGCCAAACAAGCAAAAAAGCCATGTTAGCTTTAACGCAGATTGAGTGCAATCTTCATCGCATTCCACCGCGTTCTCCAGATATTAATCCTATCGAGAACGTGTTTCATTTGGTGAAAAAAATACTGCACAGGGAAGCGATAGAAAAGAATATCACTAAAGAATCCTTTGATGCATTTAAGACGTGTGTCCTGCGTTGTCTCAACACATTTAAAATCACGACCATTGACAAAACAATTGGGAGCATGCCAAAACGAATTGAGGAAATTAGATCCTCAAGAGGGAAAAGATCGAAATACTGACTAAAAACAGTAACTTTCAACTATATTAGCAATTAGTATCATATTATTTACTGTTATACGGATAATACACAGTAGTCAACATATTTTACACACACTATATATATAGCCTGTAATGTATACATGCTTAATAAGCATAGTGAGCATATTCTGATAATACTCTTAATGTGTAAATTCTTAGCACAAAATTGAAGAATTAAATCTTTATCATAATCTGCTTGTTATATCTGTGGCCGTATTGGTTATAATGGAGGTTACGCGCTAACTTACACGGTAAACGAAATATTTTGCTTTTCGGACTTCTCGGCGGACGGTAAACACACGCCATGAAATTTAACCTGTCACTGCCACACTTATAATAATAATAAAAATCTTTATTTTGGTAATCCTTAGACACAACAGACGTGTGTCTTTACATGATTTTAGTTACAATTTTAAAATATATTATTTACTATATTTACAATATTAATGTAATAATTTAAGATAATTTATACGCATGCAACAAAACTAAAAATAATCAAACAGACACCTATTTACAAAGGAACGCTTAAATCTTTCAGTTCTGACTTGAGGAAGGATGAAAGGATGATCACGTTTTCTTAAATTTTTTTGTCTTTTCTCAGGCAGTAGTTCATATAAAATATGTTCTGGATTATCTAAAATCCTATTGAATAGAATTCTGTCTCTCGTTTCAATCAGCTCAGACATTTTATACTCTTTCAGTACATAACCATATCGATACGCTCGCTTAAAAAACTTGTCAATGCGTTCTAAATATTTCTTTTGAAGAGCTGAGCCCCAAATTTCAATACCGTATAAAAACAACGATAGTATTATTGAGTCAAAAAGATAGCTGAGATGTTCCTGCCGATATCCATACCTTCTACATACTCTTAAAATATGCATTCGGCTTCCGGCCTTCGACAACAAGCCATTAACGTGCAGGTCCCAGCAGCACACATCGTCCTCGAAAGTAACACCTAGCAGTTTTAGCCATTCCTTGCGTTCAATACCTTCTATAGGCGCTGGTGGCGGCTTAGACGTTCCGCCACTCAGAAGCATCTCCCATGTTTTTGTTAGATTTAGAGTCATTCTGTTTCTCCTTGCCCAGTTCTCGATGTTCCTCACTTCCATTGTTGCAGAATCACTATTTGACTTTACTGGTGCACTAACTGTCATGTCATCAGCAAATTTAACCAATACATTAGTTTCAGGTTGTTTGGGTTTAATGTCATCAACCATAAGAGAAAATAGAAACGGGCCAATGACGGTTCCCTGTGGCACTCCCTTGTTAATATCTACATATCTTGTTATAATTCCGTCCACCACGACCCTTTGTTTTCGATTCGTCAGAAAACTTATAATCCAATTGATGATATAAGGATTTAGGTTTGTTTGTTTAAGTTTTCCAGTTACGATATCATGCGGGACCGAGTCAAAGGCTTTTCTAAAATCAAAAGATAAAACCCTTACAAACTCGGCATCTTCGTCCAACCATTTCAGCCAATGATGTTGACATTTAATAAGGGCTGACGTTGTATTTGTTCCTTTTTTATAGGCAAACTGATCATGGCCAATGATTAACTTAGAGTGTTCTAAAATCTCTTCCCTAAAAACAATTTTCTCAAAAAGTCTCATGATGATATTAGTCAATGATATGGGTCTTAGCTGGCTGCAGTCTGATAATGTTGACTCTTTTTGTATTGGGCTAATATTTGCGAGTTTCCAAAGCGAGGGAACGTGCTGTTCATGCAAGGAAAGATTTAATACTTTAGTAAGTACAGGTGCAAGATAGTGAGCGTAGTCTTTCCACAGCCAGTATGGAAGTCCATCAGGGCCTGGTGAAGTTCGTTTTTGTTTTATCATGAACGTTTCAACTGTTTGTATATCAACCTTCGGGATTCGAATTTCTTGGGAGATTGTTAAGGGTTGTGGTGGTGTATACTGAGTGTCCGTATTTACGCTTTGAAAATAGGTGTTAATAATATTTGGATCGATGGAGGAACTAATGTTATGGGATTTTATACTTCTGCCCGTGATTTTATTGACAGTATTCCACCAACCTTTCGCCCCTTGTTTATACTTTTTGTTATCATTCGACACAGCACGAATTTGATTATCTCGAATAAGTTTATTTATTCTTTCCTGAAGTTCAGTGTTGACTCCTTTACTTATTTGTTTGTTTCGTATTTTACATAACTGTTTCACTAATGGGGACATATAAGGTGGGTCACGTGAGGAGGTTTTAATCTTGATTAGAGGAAAACTCTCGTTGAACATTAAAACAATTTCTTTGTTCAGGAGCAACACTGCTTCCTCAGCATCATTAGCACTATTGACTTTACTCCAGTCGAAAACTTTTAATTTATTCTCCATAACAATCTTTCGGTGGTGCCTAACATCTCTAAAGTAAACATGTTTTCGTTCGGGTCTAGCTTGGAGCCTTGGTGTGACCATAACCGCCAAATGATCGGACCTAACTAGACCTTTGAATACAGTGGGTTGTTTCCACAAGTGAGGGCAATTCGTCAAAAACACATCCAATATTCTAGGACCTCTGGTAGACTTTTTGACCAGTTGTGTTAGGTTATGTTGGTTACAAAGATCTTGTATCCTTAGTTGGCTTATGTCACCAGCGATAATTAACCTAGCGTTAGGTTTGGTGAGTAAAATCTGCTCGCAACTGTCCGACAAATGATCTAGAAATTCGGATTCAGAGTACTCTGGGTCAGGTGGGTAATAAACTGCTCCAATGTGATATTTGCTATTTTTTGTCTGAATTTCGCACCACAAGCATTCGAAGTTATTTTGCAAAGCAAGTTTTTTAACTTTCCAATCACTTCGGCAAATAATTGCAACACCACCACCATGTCGACACGCACTGCGATCTTTTCTCACAAAAGTATAACCGCTAGGACAAATAAGACTGGACTTGCCAATAAATTTCTATTTCACATGCTTTCTTATAGCCAAATGATCTACATTGTACTTATGATAATACACAGTAAATATTTGGAATAAACAGCAAAATATCACGGTAAACATCGGAGGACTCCCATTATAAATATAATTACTCAATGATTCTTAATTATTCTGCAACTATCGCTTTTCAATGTTTACCGTGGGCATTTTAAATATAAGCGTTTAGAATTAATATGTTTCATAATACTATAATCGCATACAGTTTTTACACAACTACATATAAAATAATTCTCACAAGCTTCTTTCTATCATGCGTTAAAAGGTTAAGAGATAGACAAACGCTACGGTAAACATTACGCGATTCAACACGGTAAACAAAATATGCAACAAATATCAATGCTTATTACTATACATAATATGATTATAAGAATTATTTTATAATCACAAAACGGTAAAATACTGTCAAATGAATATGTTTGTTTTTGTCTCTGACTTTATTTACAATTGAAGCACTAATGTTGCGAAACATCTTGGGCATGGCAGGATATCTTGCCGCTGCTGTTCTAAAGGTATCGCATAATTAAGGCAGAAAACCTTCCACCTAACACCCATCATGTCGGTCTCACGGTCATCGACTATGCTATTCTTGATGAAAATCAATGGTCGCTTGCTCGTACAAAAGATAGGAGTGTCTTTCGTGAACTCGATATCTTGCATAAAATGGGTTTTCGGAGCTGGTAGGTGAACAACTTCCCCCTCTAACATCAACAACAAATCGTGCCACGGTATAACTTGGGGGCTCCAGCGAAAATCATTAAGAAATATGCACTCGGCATCTTGTATTCCGACCCACGCAAAACTTCCAGTTGCTGGATTGCAGAACGTATGGTACACGACCTTTAGTGGCTTAAGGAGAAAGGTCTTTCCGCAATTAGCTGGGCCAACAATCATTACATTATGTTTTTTGCGACCATTAGTTAGGCTTTCTCGTACTGAATTAGCAAAACAAGATATATCTATGCCATTGTTCTGCAAAACCTCTTTCGCACACTGCAGCCAATCACCATTGCATCCAGAAACACAATCTGAGTTTGAAGCTTCTTGAAGGAGATCCATGCGACTCTTCTTAGATCGTGCAATCTTTTCTCGTGCCCCTTTCATCTGCCATGTCGTGCTAAGTATGTCTGCTAGCGTTTTAGGTGACCTATTTAAAATAAACTCAACAAGATCTATCTTTCCCCGTTCCCGCTGTTCTTGTGCAAGTGCGTGAAGTTCCGTTTCTGTCTTGATGTTCTTGCTCAAAATTAAATTTGACACATCTAATGGCGTTAGACGCTTCTTTCTTGCTTTTCCTACTCGCTTTGGTTTCTTCTTCGTTTTAGTTTGAGTTTTGATGACCGCTTTGCCTCTAAGGTTTCTCTTTCCTATGCTCGCCTTACTGGTCTTCGGAACATCAGTATTTACTAGATCTGGGTGCCCATTACTCTCTTCGTATGCTTCATCACTCTTCGTAACATAGCGCCATGCACTATAATAATCATGGTGAATGTTGGAATAATGAACGCTGACACCAAACTGTTCTAAAAGGTATCTTTTGGAGGGAAGCCATCTCTGTATTTTGTTGAGCTTCAGCGCCATGTGGTAATGTTTCCCACCGTCATTATGACTTTCAAAACTACAACACCAGTGAAGTACTTGGGCTGAACCTCGAGTGAACGAGTCAATGATCGCCTTTGCGAAATCATTTCGAAGAGGGAACTTTTCTAAACTCGCCTGGCTGTATGTTACAAGGTAAACACTTCTAGTAGCTGATGGGGCTACGCCACTGTCTTCCGGACTTTTCTCGCCGTCTGAGCTAATTGTTTCGTTTTGTCGTGAATTCAGTTCATCGTCTGCCTCGTTAGACGCTGATGCCATTTTCGAACTATACTATATATAATATTTTTTCTGCGTGAGAGTGTATTAGGATGCAACGAGACTGCCCCAAGATTGATTTTGACGCATATTTAGTGAGCATATCACAAACCGGAAGCGAATGCGCCCTTAATTTCTACCTCATTGTCGAATAGTTTTCGCTTTATTACTCTAATACAGTCATAATGTAGCAATTACAGAATTTTTCGACTGTTTTCTAGTGCAGGAGAAAAGATAATTAATGAAGATTTGTTGTAATACATTTTCAGACAATCATAGACAAATTTACTCGGACAAACATGACAAATAATTTTTTTTGCAACATTTTCATATATACTTCGTAAAGTTGGTTCCCCCTCCCCTGAAACAATGTTGATGAACACTTCAGTCATCATGGCAAGTATTGTGGTATTTGTACCAGCAACATTGTAACGGGGGAGCGGGGAATACGGCTGGATATGCGTATAAATATTTGATTGCCTTAAACTTCAGCCACTTTTAATCAGCGTCCGCGTGCTATTTGTCTAGGATTGTAGAAGGAAAAAACCTAAACATCAGAGGCATATTACCTGGTCGGATGCAACTATCTCTGAATGGCAAAACTACACCAAGGAAGCACTGGTGGTCCGTAACATTCCCGAAGGATATGTTATCACAGAGATGTATAACTTATCGCGCAATATTTTTAATCCTAGCCATCCGGGTGTCTACATCGGCAGAGAAAATTATTGGCCTGTCAATATAATGAACCAATCGGGTCGTATGAAGTGGGTGAATCTGCACGAAGACGAGCCAACGGTTCGAACCTTTGTTAAAGAAACCATGGCCAATGAACAATTAAACCAAACGACTCTTATTACAAAAAAACATATGATGATGATGATGATGATGATTTTATTGATCCATCTTTAGTTTAAAAATACAATGGATTTACAAATATGTCTTTTAAAAGAGAAGAGCATAACTAAGCATGCAATAATATTTACAAACTATCTAAAATTTATATATATACAAGTTGGAGTAAAAAATTTAAAAGTCTAGGAAATTATTTAAAAAGTTAATAAAAACCAAGTTTGGTTTTAGTGCAACCCCTGTCTCATTGCTCGTGGGACAAAACTATTTCTGTGTCGTTCAGTGCCTGAGAAAGGTGCGTATTTAAATATACCGTCTCTACGCCTAAGATTATAGTTATGTTTATTATGATCCATAGTTCGTTGATAAAAGATATGACTTGGATCACCTAAGATGTTAACGAGTTCCCTCGATGTGGCTTCAATTCTTCTCTCTTCGAGAGTTGGCAGGTAACCATGCGGGAGGCCAATAATTCGTAGACTCCTCCTTTGCGCACGTTCCAATTCGTCCTTTAGATATCGTGGCAGACCACCCCACACTGGAGAACAATATTCAAGGATAGGCCTGATTTTAGTTAAATAAGTGGTGAGACCCACTTCGACTGGTAGATTCGCTCTTCTACATTCTCGTAGGCAGTACAGGTTTTTAGCTGCTTTGCGGGTGGTCTCCTCGACATGTTTGTTCCATTTCAGGTCCTTTTGAAACCAGGTTCCCAAGAGTTTAAAATTATCGACTCTTTCTATGATAGCATCTCCTATATGTAGTGGTAGAGGGGGCGGTGCTTCGGTGAAGTTAATCCACATATCTTTTGTCTTTTT